TTTTTCCTATATATATATATATATATATATACAAAAGCTTTTGAGATCAACTGGCTGTTTTACATCATCAGAGGGCAGTTCCCAAAGTTTGAATAATATCTTTTATAAATATTTTAGATTTATTACTGGAAGTTATGATCGTACATGTAAAATATGGGATACCCTTTCTGGTGAACAATTACTCTCATTGGAAGGCCACAAGAATGTTGTTTTCACTATTGCTTTTAACAATCCATATGGGTGAGTAAAATTAGTATACATATCTTTGTAGAATATCCTAGAATGAGTAGTAACTGATGCACATTTGTTCCATATAAATTAATATATTTTTAAATTTGTTCTAGATCATCATCATGGTTTCTTACATTTTAGTGGGTGTTAACTCAGAAAATATTTTACATAATGAAACAGTATATGCTCATAGCATTAACTCTATTAAAGTTTATTTGAATACATTTATAGGCAAGATTGTGCTTTAATTATAAATTGTTTATTTTTTGTCAGAGTGCTTATATATTGTAATATATTTTAGATATAGTTAATATTAATAGCTTTCAGTACCTTAAACTTCTGGTTCTTGTTCAATTACTGTAATATTTAAATACATTTTTTCTAATTTTTACAGAAATAAAATTGCAACTGGGTCTTTTGACAAATCCTGCAAAATCTGGGATTCAAAAACTGGTGAATGTTACAAGACACTCAGAGGTCACACCGAAGAAGTGGTAATTGTTTTCTGTTATTATTGAAAAATATACCCACATGTCATATAGAGTTGGTTTTACATATGTAGTTATTTTGTTTAATTTAAATCATTAGGAATTTTTAATGTTTAAAAGCTCATCTTTCACTGAACAATTTCAGTAAGTTCATTTAGATATTCATTAACCCATCTTATCAGTCTTAGATAATTCACAATTATCTGTAAATAGAAACGTTTTCTTGTTATCACGATTGTTACAACAATTAAACTTTAGTTTTCTATAATCCCAACTCAACCACAACCAAAGTTATGTAGTTTGTGGTATCTCTTGTGCAAAACGATTTTCCTGTAGAGCAGTCAGTTAGGCCCAGACTATAGAGTATTGTTACATCTCCGTTTGTTAATTGATTTTTCTGTAACTTCGTTCCGACGAAACTTTAGCGACACAAGTCCTTACTTAATAAAACTGGTTTATTCTTTCTGAATATAACTTTACCGATACACTTATTTTCAACAGTCGCTCTGTAGCAAACATTATAACGATACTCTCTGACTGCAGTTCAATTACTCACTACCTACACACACATTATTATTCCGTCACGTTGTCACCCTCTTATATATACCAGTCTACCCTATATCTAGTAATCTCCCGACAATTCACGAAGGTACAAGATATTTCCAGAAAGCAGGGGGTGTGCACTAGTCACGTGACCTCGCTGACGCAACAGTATATTGATTTCTGCAATCTGCAATTGGGATTGTCTAGAAGAAAGATTCTATACCAATAGAAGTAGAAGTGCACAAAGGTTTATTCAGTATGATAAATAAATAAAATAGAACAAAGGCAAGTGTTCATTGGTGCTTATTGAACTGATAAGAGTAAATGTGAAGTTTTCATTTTAAAACTCTTTTCAGTTCAGTTTTTCCCCTCCCTATAAATTCATTTGAACTCTAAACCTGAAGTGAAAATTAACACTTAGTGAATATTAAAATAAAGTTACGAAATTTATGTTTAAACAAAATCCAAAATTAAGTTTAAACTAAACTACAGTTCAAAATGCTAGCAATGTTCCATGTTAAAACCTAACAAAATATGGCTAAATTTTAAGCAAACACTTAACTTTTCAAAGTGAAAGATAAAGTTAAAATACAAAATACAGGTTAAGAGATAAAAATAACAAAAGCTTAACACTGGGTCTTATTATATTGTACTGCTGAAATACTCTTGAAAACATTCTAATTTTACATATCCTATCCTACAAGAGTAAATCTGGCTTTATAAACACAAATCAGATTCCACAACAAAGTTAGGCTTGCACATGTAATTCACCTGACATCCAGGATGTGTGTCCACTGCGAGTTGAGCTCTATGGTGTGGCTTCCTCTGATCCTTCTCCAATTTGTCAATAGGAAAGATAGCTTCTATTTCTGAATGTTGTGTGCTATCTTCCCTGCAAGAAAGTTTGTTAATTGTTTAAGAAACCCACATCTTGTATGCTCTCAAATGGAAAGTTAAAATGTTGCTTGAGCAACTCTTTACATCCAAACTTTGAAAGGCTGTTCATGCTCTTCTCCTGCAGATCAAGCTTAGTGTGAGTGAAGCACAGACAATTGAGCATTGTTATTGTGGCATGGTGTATGGCATGCCTGAGACTGAGCAGGACAGTCTGTATAGGATTTCCAGGACTTTATCAGCCAGAGTAACCCAACCCAAGCTTTTGTCAAAACCACCTGAGAATACTGAAGAAAAACTTGATGGTGCCAATGATAGATGACATCTTCCAGTAGGAGCTATGACACTGGCAGGTGAGATGGCAGTCTTCAAGTTGTGAAATAGGTAAACATGGGGCAGTGGTGAACCCCTCTGAACAGGGAGGTTTGCTGCTGAGGACCATGAATAATGAAGGAGTCTGGGGTCATGCAGATCCAACAGCAACTCATTGTTCTATTGCACTGGACACAGAGATCAAATAGTCACTTGAGAATGTCAAAGTCTCTGAGAATACCTACCACTGTGTACCCATGATGTTGAGAGCAGATGATTGCTTAGAAGTCATGAGGGAAAGGTTCTGATTATCACCAAAATTCTCCATTAGTGAAGCAAAACAAATCACCCCCACCCTAATATTGAAGAAAAATTTGAAGGGGCTGCAGTGGGAGTAATGCCTGCTCTCTGTTGATGATATCTTGGTGTTTTGTCACACATTTGAGTCTGTGGCTGAGAAACTGAAAATGGTATTCCAATAGATGAAAGGACAGATCTGTAACTGAAACCAAGAAAATGTATATTAATGTGCTTGGAAGTGGAATTTCTTGGTAATATTGTGAGTAAAGATGAAATCTCCATGGGTTCTGTTTAAATAACCTAAGGTGTGAGATTTGCCTTATATTGTGACCAATCAAGAAGGCCATACTTTTGTATGTTTTGCATCATACTGTCAATAGTTTGTGGCCAATTTCTCGAAGATTACCTCAATGTTGACATATTCACAACAGGACTGAGTTCTTCTTTGATACTAAGTCCAATGATAGTGGAATTGGAGCAATGTTTTTGCAGTTGCAGGATGGAGTAGAACATGCTATTGTGTACATTATTTGAACACTAACAAATCCTAAATGCAAAGAATAAAAAACTGTTTGCAATTGTGGTTTTCATGAAACACTATTAACACTACCTGTATGGTAGAAAAGTCATTTTTCAAGTGGACCATGCATCACTGAAATAGTTAATAAACTTTAAAAACTCAAAAGATATGACAGCAACCTGGATAACAGTACTGCAGAAGTGTGGCTTACTCACACAACATTTCCCAAACCTACAATACAGAAATGGTGACAGATTGTCTTGCTGCATGATTAAACATTCATATGGGAGTTGACACCATAACAATGACATGTCATACAATATGAGATTCCATATTGGATAAATCCCATGAAGAGCAGCTGAAGGGCCTAGATCTAACATGGACACTCCTTGCTATGCAGAACTGTAAAACATGACCAGTTCACAGTGAGAAAGATACCATGGACACACTTAATCTGTAGTACTTGTATGAGCAATTACAAGTAGGGAAAAGTGTGCTGTACCATTGTTATCAACCATCAAGCAGTGTTTCTGAGTGTGTGTGTTACAGCTGTTGATCCCCACTACTTTGAGATATAACAAAAATACTAAATGGCACCAAGTTGTTATTCACACTTATTTTAGCATTTGACAGTGATTCTATTGGCTTCATCTGAGTTGAGACATTCAGTGTTGGTGTCAATACTGTTTGTTGTGTGCCATTCAGAGAAAAACTGGCCTAAACAGGGTAAAATCCAGCAGATGATTGTTGGTTCTCTTCTACAGAGAATAAGCCCTGGATATTGCTGGTCTATTCCTAGAGATGGAATAAGGTCACTTATATATACTCTTGGCCATTCTACTTCACAAAGTAGGCTGAGGCTTATACATTGGTCGTAATTTCAACACATTTAGTAGTTGATATGTTAATGGAGCATTGAATATCCCAATTTGGACCACCTGAAGAGATCTATGTGGATCAGGAGCTAACATTAACAATAAACATTTGGAATATTGTGTTCAGTCTTACGCGCCTTACCTTAGGAAAGACATTGAATTGTTGGAAAGGGTTTAGAGAAGGGTTACTAGAATGGTGCCTGGGATGAAAGGGTTGTCATACAAGGAGAGGTTGAAATCTCTTAATTTTTTTCCTCTTGAAAAAAAGAAGAATTGGGGGGGGGATCTGATTGAGGTGTTTTAAGATTGTAAATAGAATTGATAGTGTTGATGTATTATCTTTTTTCATACTTAACAGTGATAATAGTAGGACTAGGCAACACAAATATAAATTTTGGCAAGGTAGGAGTCATCTTCAGCTAAGACAGTTTCATTTTTCTAACAGGGTGGTTGGCCTTTGGAATTGGTTGCCTTCAGATGTTGTAGAGGCCGTAAATTTAAGTGTGTTTAAGAAAAAGCTTGATAAGTATATGAATGATAAGGGCTGGCTTTAAGATATTTTTTATTATTATTTTAATTTAGAGGATGGAACAGGTCCCATGTTGTCCCAGAATGTTATTGTAACTTTCTGTAACTTCGTTCCGACGAAACTTTAGTGACACAAGTCCTTACTTAATAAAACTGGTTTATTCTTTTCGAATACAACTTTACGATACACT